AGTTGATCGTTGGTACTAACAGTTGGTTGTTAGTGCCCTAACAGTTGATCGTTGGTGCCCTAACAGTTGATCATTGGTGCTAACAGTTGGTTGTTAGTGCCCCAACAGTTGGTCTTTAGTGTTACGTTGTTTTTTTAAATCCGTCCAGAGGACCCGACTTCATTTTGTTAGATTTTTCTACCTGGATTATTGAGCATGCATCAGGTCACTTGTTTCATTGATGTTTTTAATTATAAAATTCTACAGCAGTTTCTTTACACACCGGTTTTGCACCAGACCAGCGGCACGGTGCGGTGGGTGATTATTGATTTAGCAGCTTAGCGGGTGTACCTTTTAAATATCACATCCAGACTTCTCATAGCCTCCCAGTTCAACCAGTTCTGTCCAACTGGGGCCTTCCTCAGGGACAACAAGAGGAGGAAACGTGCTTCGTTAAATCTCCTTCAGAGTCTTCATCACAGCATCTTTACGTTCAGTCTGAACACAGGATCACGTCTCGCTAAAGTGTCTGAGGATGAAACTAGTGTAGTTAGAAATGTGTCGTTTGAGGCGTCCGCCTCCAGAATGTGTTTTGATAATTGCTGTTAGTGGTAAGTGTTTTTGTTCTTTCAGCTTGACCGATTCATCCTCGAAGAGGAACGCTTTTTGTTTCTTTATGTGGAAAGTGAAATCATTTTCTTTCATCTTATTTTTTGTGAGACTTCACGATGTTATCTGCCCTCGGCGTCACATTTAAGAGTTCACAGCTTCGAGGAGGAGGAAGTGACACGCAGTTATGAACTCACGCCGGAGAAATGTCGGCCATGATCTGCTCACCGCGGAGCAGCTGGAGAATTAGTGCCTTGCTCAAGGGCATTTCAATATTTGTCATTGTTGATATGTGACTGGGGTTTTTTTTCCTTTGAGCTTTTCCCACTGTGTGCAGGGATTGTAACAAAGTGTAAAACCTTTACCTGTCCTCTTTCTGCTCACCTGGTGCTGCTTCAGACTATGCTATGTCAAAAACACTGAGGTTATTTCACCTGTGCACACATAATGTTTGTTTTTCACTGTGAGAGAAACTTTAAAACATTGATTTTTACTTTTAACTGACTTCCGGTTGGCTCTTAAAAAAGAAACTGAGAAGATCGTTTCAAATTGTCTGAAAATGAGGAATGGATTTAGTTTCATTTGATTCTAATCACAATTTATAAAGTGGTATCTTAAAGTCATAACAGCTGTCAAACCATGATGTTTTTATGTTTTTGATATGAATGTTTTATATATGTACATCAGTGAGAAAACGGCGGTACGCCAATGTCCCCCATTGCTGAGGGATCTGAATAGTGAATGTTTGTAGTTTTGGAGAGGAGTGGGTTTTTTTTTTGACTGGAACAGGGAATGCATGTACAGTAAACCTAAATGTTTTTGGTGCAAGATATTCAAGTTGGTATGAGTTACACTGTGGCGAACAGAGGGAGTTTTTTTTAATTGGGCTCTGAGGCAGAGTGACAGATCCTGGAGTGTGGACAGAACATCTTCATTCACCATCAGGTCCAGTGGAGAAGTCTGGGGGTGGCCAATGGTGGCCTTGGCCCCCTTACATCAATCTTCTGCCACCCCAATCATTTGAGGAAGCTATACTTTTAAGCAATATAATAACTAGAGAGCATAGTTAAAATAAAAAAAAAGTGTATATATATATATATATATATATATATATATATATATAAATTTTTTCACAGTGATCTTATGCCTAGATGCTGCCACACAAAAATGGAAGTCAGTACCTCACTTTTTTCAAGTTATCACACTCGCAACATGCACGGCTGGACAGACATAACCACTAAACGTCGTTCACTACCAAAAGTCTCCATCATAAATATGAGACCAGCAGTCGCATGTTTTGTTGCCAACAATCAGTTGTTTACATCTGAACTCTGATGAGTTCACTTTGAACAGTCTGCGGGTGTTGATAAATTTTTACCCCGGATGTAAATTGAGTCGGAGGGGGATTGATGGAATCTAACACAAGGTCCATCCATCAATCATCTTTACTTGTTTTTTCCTTTTCGGGTCATGGGGGTCACTGGTGCCCACATGCAAGAGGCGAGGGACACCCTGGACAGCTCTCCAGTCCATCCCAGAGACACCTGGACAGCTCTCCAGTCCATCCCAGAGACACTTGGACAGCTCTCCAGTCCATCACAGGGACAATTTAGAGTTTTCAATCAGTCTAACATGCATGTTTTTGGTCTGTGGGAGGAAACTGGAGTACCTGAGAAAACCCACACATGCACGGAGAGAACACGCAAACTCCACCGAGAAAGGTCCCGAGCTGGGATTTGATCTGGTGACTTCTCTCTGGGAGGCGACATCTCTACCAACTGATCCACCATGCCGCCGACACCAGGTCCGAAGAGAAAAAGTTAAAAGTTCTTCGGTCTCCTGAAAAGAACAGGCTGTGACAACGAGATGTTTTAGGGCAGGACATCAATCGGTCGAGAGCGTTAAAACTGAAGTTGGAGCGACGATCATCAGCAGATGATCTGTGCCCAGATGTTCCCACCAGAATCATTTATTACTGAGCACATGTAATAAATGATTCTGGTGGGAACATCAGGACTGCAGACCTTTAGAATTTAAAAGCATTAAAATTCTAATTAAAACCATTAGAAATGTGATTATTTTGATAACTATTAACTATTAAAGGATTTTTCACATTTTAAAAACAAACCAAAAAGTTTATGTTGGGGAACCATATCTGAATGAATCTGGTCATATTAAAGAAGAAGACCAGCTGCAGCTTCTTCCTGTGGGACTCTGGCCTGCAGTCTGCGGCCCAGGATCTAACTGTAGGGTAGTTCTTGATGCTGCCAGGAGGCAGAACTGAACTGTGCAGACCAGTCCCCGGACTGACCCGACCCGGAAGGGTTTCCAATTCAGGCAGTAGGGTTATGTGACACAACTGTGTGAAGAACAGTGGAATAAATAAATAAATAATAAAGCACATGTTGACTTAAAAACTGTTTGGCTCTGTGACTCGAAGCTGTTTGTCTTTTGGGGAAAGATCAGCAAAGCCTTTAATTTAGTCTGTTTTTATTTATTTATTTTGCTGCAGTCAATAATTATTTAAAAT